CTCTGTTTACCTGTCACCCGAGTTATATATTTTGTAGTTGATGAACATAGTGTTTTTCTGATGCCTCCGTCAACTGCCTTGCTTTTTCCTCTCTCTGTCTCTGTCTCTGTCTCTCTCTGTCTGTCTCTCTGTCTCTGTCTCTGTCTCTGTCTCTGTCTCTCTCTCTCTCTCTCTCTCTCTCTCTCTCTCTCTCTCTCTCTCTCTCTCTCTCTCTCTCTCTCTCTCTCTCTCTCTCTCTCTCTCTCTCTCTCTCTCTCTCCCCCAAAAAACTCCTACCTAGAAGAAACCTCAGAGTAGTTAAAGTCGTAAATCAGCAGTTAAAGCTAGCGGCAGTTAAAGCCATATAACAAGCAGTTTAAGCCATAACGAGCTGGGGGGGGGGGGGCGGGAATTGGGGGGGTAGGGGGGGGTTCAATTAAAGGGGGTGGTCAACCCTATGTGACTTACCAGCCTATAATTGCTTGCACGTGGTCCATTGTTCAGACTGGACGCCTTCCCCCCTCCTCCCCCCCCCCCACACAAAGGAGAGGGGGGGGGGGGGTAGGGTGATTAAGGGGGGGGGGGTTTAAGGGGGGTGTTTTGGAGGTGAATAAGTGAGTACAATGTTTTTTGTGTGGCGTGAGTAAAAAAGTAGGGGAGGAGGGTTATATCTCTCTTGAGTATGAGATGAATACAGTTTTAAGGGGTTGAGGCCGTGTGTAACAAATGGTTACTAAATAATGGGTAAGGGGTGAATTGTGCGGCGCTAATGGAATCGGCAAGGGAGAGAGAGAGAGAGAGAGAGAGAGAGAGAGAGAGAGAGAGAGAGAGAGAGAGAGAGAGAGAGAGAGAGAGTGGCAGATGGGGGTGAGATGGGTTACGCCCTTGTAGATGAGTCTCATGGGTATTCTTCACGCAAATGGTGATCTGCACACTCATCAAACGAAGACCAATGCGCTACTGATAGATTTCACCTCCTCCAGTGACGAGAGAGAGAGAGAGAGAGAGAGAGAGAGAGAGAGAGAGAGAGAGAGAGAGAGAGAGAGAGAGAGAGAGAGAGAGAGAGACAGACAGACAGACAGACAGACAGACAGACAGACAGACAGACAGACAGAGACACACACACACACACACACACACACACATACACACACAAACTCACTTGAACTAATCATTTACATCAATAAAGCAATGAAAAAGTAACCTCAAGGCAAAGTATCTTTCATGCAAGGAACACGATCCACCCAAAATCGACCTGTATACCAGAGCCTTCATATACTCGATTGACCCGATTTCATGGCTATTTACGTGTGAAATTGACCCTACTGATTGTTCATCTGGCAACTGTGTGCCAGATGAAGGCTCTGTTGGGTCCTGCGGGATCGCCATAGCCCGTGCTACTTGGAGCTTTTGGTTCCACCTAGCGAATCTTAACCAACAAAAAACATCTGTTGGGTCCTGACTCATCCGCTTCCTCATGTGAGAGTTACTCATCACTTTGATTCACGTCTCGTGGTTACAAATGATAAGATAACTGGGATTCAGGAGAGATATCTTGGGTGCTGACCCCAAGGTGATATCTTGGGTGTAGAGCCAAGGTGATATCTTGCGTGTAGACCCCAAGGTGATATCTTGGGTGTAGAGCCAAGGTGATATCTTGGGTGTAGAGCCAAGGTGATATCTTGGGTGTAGACCCCAAGGCGATATCTTGGGTGTAGAGCCAAGGTGATATCTTGGGTGTAGACCCCAAGGTGATATCTTGGGTGTAGACCCCAAGGTGATATCTTGGGTGTAGAGCCAAGGTGATATCTTGGGTATAGACCCAACTTGATATCTTTTAGGTCGCTGCCGCCATCTTGGGAGGCTGAGACGCTATCTTAGAAGAGACAAGGAAGTATTGCTTTCTTATAGGGTCTATCTGTTTCCTGATTGCTCCATCTATCCTCTTCTTTCCTGCGCGTTTTCCATTTTTTTGACCGAAATTGGTTGCATTTTTATGTCTTACAAGTTTGTTTGAAAACGTATATTGCTGGCATAGGTGTATACGTGTGTATTTGGTCCATTATAAAATGTTTATTGACTTATTTCATATTTTGGTACTTTCTGGTGGTCCATCACTACATATTGGTACTTTCTGGTGGTCCATCACTATATATTGGTACTTTCTGGTGGTCCATCACTACATATTGGTACTTTCTGGTGGTCCATCACTACATTTTGGTACTTTCTGGTGATCCATCACCACATATTGGTACTTTCTGGTGGTCCATCACTATATATTGGTACTTTCTGGTGGTCCATCACTACATATTGGTACTTTCTGGTGGTCCATCACTATATATTGGTACTTTCTGGTGGTCCATCACTATATATTGGTACTTTCTGGTGGTCCATCACTACATATTGGTACTTTCTGGTGGTCCATCACTATATATTGGTACTTTCTGGTGATCCATCACTACATTTTGGTACTTTCTGGTGGTCCATCACTATATATTGGTACTTTCTGGTGATCCATCACTACATTTTGGTACTTTCTGGTGGTCCATCACTATATATTGGTACTTTCTGGTGGTCCATCACTACATTTTGGTACTTTCTGGTGGTCCATCACTACATATTGGTACTTTCTGGTGGTCCATCACTACATATTGGTACTTTCTGGTGGTCCATCACTATATATTGGTACTTTCTGGTGGTTCATCACTATATATTGGTACTTTCTGGTGATCCATCACCACATATTGGTACTTTCTGGTGGTCCATCACTACATATTGGTACTTTCTGGTGATCCATCACCACATTTTGGTACTTTCTGGTGGTCCATCACTACATATTGGTACTTTCTGGTGATCCATCACCACATATTGGTACTTTCTGGTGGTCCATCACTATATATTGGTACTTTCTGGTGATCCATCACCACATATTGGTACTTTCTGGTGGTCCATCACTACATATTGGTACTTCCTGGTGATCCATCACCACATATTGGTACTTTCTGGTGGTCCATCACTATATATTGGTACTTTCTGGTGGTCCATCACTATATATTGGTACTTTCTGGTGGTCCATCACTATATATTGGTACTTTCTGGTGATCCATCACTACATTTTGGTACTTTCTGGTGGTCCATCACTATATATTGGTACTTTCTGGTGATCCATCACTACATTTTGGTACTTTCTGGTGGTCCATCACTATATATTGGTACTTTCTGGTGGTCCATCACTACATTTTGGTACTTTCTGGTGGTCCATATCCCTTTGTGTGTGTGTCAATTTCCATTTCAATCAGATGGTACATCACCTGCTTTAACTCTAATGTCCACCCATAATTCAGATGCTTTGTACATAACATCTAAATGAAGATTGAGGCTCTTCCCTTTACCCCTCAAACTTCGCGCTCAACTACTCATTACCGATGGTTGATGATTGATGAGGATTGAGACACCGTCAAGAGCTGGTATGGGCATGAATAACCCCGTAAGGCTCATATTGTCATTTTTATCTTCAACTGTGTACCATACTTTAATATCTACCACATACCAGGAACCAACACCCCCCCCCCCAACATCTCCCACACCTGGGAGATGGAATGCATTAGGAAGTGATGTGGTGGAGGCTGACTCCATACACAGTTTCAAGTGTAGATATGATAGAGCCCAATAGGCTCAGGAACCTGTACACCAGTTGATTGACGGTTGAGAGGCGGGACCAAAGAGCCAGAGCTCAACCCCCGCAAACACAACTAGGTGAATCCACACACACGTGATGTGGTGGAGGCTGACTCCATACACAGTTTCAAATGTAGATATGATAGAACCCAATAGGCTCAGGAACCTGTACACCAGTTGATTGACAGTTGAAAGGCGGGACCAAAGAGCTAAAGCCCAACCCCTGCAAGCACATTAGATGAGTACACCTAAATTCCCATACCTCACAGGTGCACTGCACCCATTTCTACATTACGTCATAACTACCCCCTCCCCCCCCCCCTCCATAACGTAATGATTACATCGGGGGATCGAGCGAGAGATGTATCCATAGTGAAGGCAAAGCGACAGCTTGCCAAAGCCCAGGACGGCTGAGCTGCTCGAGGAGCCAATGGTGCAAGAAATAGAGAAGCCGAGAGCGCGGGGGATAATAACTTTCCTTTGTGGGCCGGAAATAAAGCCATAGCCAGCTCAACTTCAATTTTCCCGGCTGTTTGGGCCTGGCCGTCTGGAAAAATGGTTGGAATTTAAATGCAAAATCTCATCGCATGAAGATCGTCGGCGTTGCCGCCAAGTGAGAGCCAATTTTCTTGTTCAGGGAACACCAATGGCGGGAAACGTGAAAAAGGCGGGAAAATCGAACCGATGGAGGGTAAAAAATTTAAAAAGAAAACGCGGGAAAGACCAACGGTGAGAGAGAAAGGTTAAGTTTCTTCATGAAAAATGGAATCGAAAGGGGTTCAATAATGCCTCCTGCTCGATTACTCTACGAAGCTAATGCATAAATTCAAAGAAAGAGAGGGAGAGAGAGAGAGAGAGGAGAGAGGAAGTGTGGAATAAGGTGAAACACAGCGGGAAAAACTCAGATGGCTGGAAGACCTCGGGTTAAAATAATCGACTTCCCCGTCCCATCAAATTATAAATCTGGTGCTCTTTATTATCCAAGGAGACGGGAGGGAGTGTTGCCTTGATGAGTGTGTTGCTTTGATGAGTGTGTTCCTCTGATGAATGTGTTGCTCTGATAGCTGAGCCCTTGTCAGCCACCATTAGCAAGAACATTCCAACTGGAGGCGAAGAAAAATCTCAAAATAACGAGAAAATAGAATTCAAACTACTTGAAAATTTGGATTTATTCGAGAACTTGGTCGTGAGCTGCAGCATCCATGGGCACTTTGTCTTGTGTATTCTGAGAGGTTATCCAATGATGCCAAGAAACCTTCCTAACTCCAAACACACTTGCAATCATAACACACATCCGGATTTAGCTACAAAACCAAGAGAATATACTCAAAGAATGCGTCAAAATGTGCAAAAGCAAGTAATTGCTTCAACACAAATTGACTGTTGGAGATAAAGGCTTTAAAAGGGGGTCTGTTGAATCATATTGGTGATCTGTCGAATCATATTGGTTGTTCGTAGAATCATATTTGTGGTCCTTCGAATCATATTAGTAGTCCGTCAAATCATATTAGTGGTCCTTTGAATCATATTAATGGTTCGTCAAATCATATTAGTGGTCCTTCGAATCATATTAGTGGTCCGTTGAATCATATTAGTGGTCCATCGAATCCTATTAGTGGTCTGTCGAATCATATTAGTGGTCCATCGAATCATATTAGTGGTCCATCGAATCTTATTAGTGGTCCGCGGGATTTAAAATTATGATTTTAGTGGTCCGTGAGGTCCGAAAGGTTGGCAAACCCCCTGGTATATATATTATAACACATCAAACGCGCTGGGAGTCGACTTCAATCTCCTTATAGAGGCTCGAGATTCTTTGTCCATTACCAATATTGTGTCTTTCAATGGGTCACGATTCTCCTGTTATTATTTTTTGGGGGGAAAATACTAATTCTCTTGATATTAATAGTGATATTAGGAGTAATAGTCGCAATGGTCATTTTTTAATAGCAATAATATAAATAATAATAATAGTTATTATTATTATCTGTGTTCTTAATACTTGTCTCATATCGCTTTCTCCTTTCTTTCTCTTTATCTTCTGTCTCTTGTTTCTGAGTCATTCTTTCCGTGTCTCATTCCTCTCCCATTTCTCCTCTCGCCTCTCTCTCTCTCTCACCTCTCTCTCTCTCTCTCTCTCTCTCTCTCTCTCTCTCTCTCTCTCTCTCTCTCTCTCTCTCTCTCTCTCTCTCTCTCTCTCTCTCTCTCTCACCTATATCCTCCCTCTCTCTTCCCCTCTCCCTCACTTGACTCTGGAACAATTTAAGACCTCTTTGGGCTGCCAGCCATTCGTTCCTGGGTGCCCCTTCTGCCCTGGTGTCAGGGGGATTGGGGGGGGGGGCTGTGAGGGGGGTGGTGTCAGGGGGTTCTGTGAGGGGGGTGCTTATTACATTTTCAAAGAAAATGAAAATGACATTTTCTTTGAAATGTAATAAGTTATTACGAAACGCGTTCAAGCGTCGCATCAGACTAGAAATAAAAATTAATTTTGGAGAATTGATTTTTCAATTACCATCGTCAGTAAAAAGAAACATGAGAAATATTGAGAAAGTTCGTGTTAGAATTATTAATCTCACTTTTTCGCTCATATATATATATATATATATATATATATATATATATATATATATATATATATATATATATATATATATATATATATATATATATATAATAAAATTACATTTCCTTTCGTAAACTCAATATGTTTTAGATATCTACATTGCATTTTTCTCTTTGATACACGTATTTCATATCCCTCTAATAGCATATATTGTTCTCTCTTTCTCTTTTGTTTTTTCTCTGACCGTTAACAACTTTTAACCGTTGGCGATATTTGAAAGTTTGAAAACATTAGGTTACATACAGCTCATACCGGCTAATCGGGACAAAACCAATTTCGCCGGATAACGTCGGAATCCGGTTAAAGAGAGCGAGTTAGGTCACCTGGATTTTGAACTGAGTGCATGCAAAGGGGCCGTTTGTGCTTGGTCAGTTGGTGGTTGGTGCGTGCGTGTGCGTGTGTTTGCGTGCGTGTGTGTGTACTCACTTAGTTGTGTTTGCGGGGGTTGAGCTCTGGCTCTTTGGTCCCGCCTCTCAACTGTCAATCAACTGGTGTACAGGTTCCTGAGCCTACTGGGCTCTATCATATCTACACTTGAAACTGTGTATGGAGTCAGCCTCCACCACATCACTGCCTAGTGCATTCCATTTACTAACTACTCTGACACTGAAAAAGTTCTTTCTAACGTCTCTGTGGCTCATGAGGGTACTCAGCTTCCACCTGTGTCCCCTTGTGCGTGTACCACCCGTGTTAAATAATCCATCCCCCAGTCAATTCCCCTGAGAATTTTGTATGTGGTGATCATGTCTCCCCGAGCTCTTATATCTTAAAGTGACGTGAGGTGCAATGCATGCAGCCTTTGCTCATAACTCATGCCTCTTAGTTCTGGGACTAGCCTAGTGGCATACCTTTGAACTTTTTCCAGCTTCGTCTTGTGCTTGATAAGGTACGGGCTCCATGCTGGGGCCGCATACTCCAGGATTGGTCTTACATATGTGGTATACAAGGTTCTGAAGGATTCCTTACACAGGTTCCTGAACGCTGTTCTGATGTTAGCCAGCCTCGCATACACCGCTGATGTTATTCTCTTGATGTGGGCTTCAGGAGACAGATTTGGTGTGATATCAACTTCTAGATCTTTCTTTCTGTCCGTTTCATGAAGGACTTTATCTCCTATTCTGTATCCTGTGTCTTACCTCCTGTTTCCACCGCCTAGTTTCTTCACCTTGCATTTAGTTGGGTTGAACTTTAGTAGCCATTTGTTGGACCATTCCTGCAGTTTGTCTAGGTCATCTGGGAGATGACCTGGGATGATGACTTCTGGGAGATCATTTACACATATCAGAAACCTTTTTTCCTACCACAGACGTGGCCAGACATTTACAATGCTAACCAGCATATATACATTTTCTTCTGTCCTCCATGGACAGGGTGAGAGATGTGTTAAACATATAGTTCAGGGATTTATTGAACAATCAACCACAGAAGGTGATTGTAGTGGTTTTAAACTACTAATCTAACCTACATACATACATACACATATTTACGTCTGTTCTACATAAACTGTGTTCCGTGTGGCTTTTTACATAGTGTCATTAATGTGTGTTAACAAAGGTGAAATGCAATTCTGACCAGCTTCCACATACCTCAAACAATTGACCACATACCTGTAACAAGTACCCACATACCTGTAACTAGTAACCACATACCTGTATCTAGTGCCCACATACCTGTAACCAGTAACCACATACCTGTAACTAGTGCCCACATACCTGTAACTAGTGACCACATACCTGTAACAACTGCCCACATACCTGTAACTAGTGACCACATACCTGTAACAAGTGCCCACATACCTGTAACTAGTGACCACATACCTGTAACCAGTAACCACATACCTGTAACAAGTGACCACATACCTGTAACAAGTGACCACATACCTGTAACAAGTGACCACATACCTGTAACTAGTGACCACATACCTGTAACAAGTGACCACATACCTGTAACTAGTGACCACATACCTGTAACAAGTGACCACATACCTGTAACCAGTAACCACATACCTGTAACCAGTGACCACATACCTGTAACTAGTGACCACATACCTGTAACCAGTAACCACATACCTGTAACTAGTGACCACATACCTGTAACAAGTGACCACATACCTGTAACTAGTGCCCACATACCTGTAACCAGTAACCACATACCTGTAACTAGTGACCACATACCTGTAACCAGTAACCACATACCTGTAACTAGTGACCACATACCTGTAACAAGTGACCACATACCTGTAACTAGTGACCACATACCTGTAACTAGTGACCACATACCTGTAACAAGTGACCACATACCTGTAACTAGTAACCACATACCTGTAACAAGTGACCACATACCTGTAACAAGTGACCACATACCTGTAACAAGTGACCACATACCTGTAACCAGTAACCACATACCTGTAACAAGTGACCACATACCTGTAACAAGTGACCACATACCTGTAACAGGTAACCACATAACTGTAACAAGTGACCACATACCTGTAACCAGTAACCACATACCTGTAACAAGTGACCACATACCTGTAACAAGTGACCACATACCTGTAACCAGTAACCACATACCTGTAACTAGTGACCACATACCTGTAACTAGTGACCACATACCTGTATCTAGTAACCACATACCTGTAACTAGCGACCACATACCTGTAACAAGTAACCACATACCTGTAACAAGTGACCACATACCTGTAACAAGTAACCACATACCTGTAACAAGTGACCACATACCTGTAACTAGTGACCACATACCTGTAACAAGTGACCACATACCTGTAACAGGTAACCACATAACTGTAACAACTGCCCACATACCTGTAACTAGTGACCACATACCTGTAACAAGTGACCACATGCCTGTAACAAGTAACCACATACCTCTAACTAGTGACCACATACCTGTAACAAGTAACCACATACCTGTAAGAAGTGACCACATACCTGTAACTAGCGACCACATACCTGTAAACATTAACCACATGGTCACTGGTTACAGCTATGCTGTTATGTAATTGAATAATTGTAAAAAAAATTAAAAAAAAATTACATATAACTAAAAAATTCACATTTTTTTCAGTGAATTTTTCATCCTTTCCTGAATACAAAATATTAAAAAACAGATGCTCTCTCCAGGATTAAAAATACATTCCTAGTTGTCAAATATTTTCTGAATTGTTGCTTCGATACAGGATTGCAATGATGCACTGCAATCACTCACCTGTCTAAACTTAATTCGGTGTATACAGGACCAGGAGGGGTGGGGTGGGGTGGTGGTGGTGGGGGGTGGGGTGGGGGGGAGGTGCATAGGTCATTCATGTATGCACTCATTTACTCATTCATGCACTCATTCATGGAGTCAGTTCAGGTGTAGGGAGTGAATAAATACATTTTATAATCTCAAGAAACTTTATAACAGTTGAATAAGTGTCTAGAGCAAACACAATTAGGTTAGTTCAGATAGGGGGGGGGTATATATACACACACACACACACACACACACACACACACACACACACACACACACACACACACACACACACACACACACACACACACACACACACACACAAAAAAAAAAAAGTTAGGGGAGAAGGTGGTGGAGGCCAAGACCGTCAGTAGTTTCAAAGCGTTATATGACAAAGAGTGTTGGGAAGACGGGACACCACGAGCGTAGCTCTCATCCTGTAACTACCCTTAGGTAATTACACCTAGCTAATTACACCCCCCCCCCCGACCTGAAGGC